AATAGTGATGGGAATTTTACAAAATTTAAATTTGCTTAACTGTTGTACCAGGATAAGTTTTATTTGTCACCTGATGATATACAACTCTTGTCAATTTTTTCATTTTTATTGGAAATGAATAAAGGTTTTCCATTGAGAAAATATTTAATGATGCTTTCTCTAGAAGATTCCAGTTTTCTTAGTATCAGAGAATTTTTAATTATCTTTGTACAAGTCATACCAGAATGCATTTAAACTTATACACATTCCTCATCAATAACAGATACCTGTAAGGAGTTAAAATGAATAAAATTCATACCAGACTACTTACAGTGAATTTTTCTTTAATTTGTAGTGTCATATTTAGAACTTTTGCTAACCACTTTAATTTATAGAAGATATTTAATAAAATTTATTTTTATAATAATTATGATTTTTGTTGTGTTATTTAACGTTTTTTTAGTAACTGAAAGTTTCATATATAAACTAAGACCTAGTAATTGGAAAAATTCAGATGCGATTTTTTTGGAATTGTGGCATATTAATAATTTTAAGATCTGTTTGATTTATCATATTAAATAGGGTGAGGCATTTAACCTGAAAAAGTGAAATATCTCCAAAACAAAGCATTGCAGAGGAAAATGTTTAAAATAGAATATGTTTGTTTTGAAGGAAGAAGGGTAACAAAGTTTATTTTTTATTTTGAGCATGTTTTCAAGGTCCTATCATGATCAACTTATTTTCATTTGAAAATCTATTTTTTGTTCATCAATCTTGAACACATTGAAAAATGTGTTGAGAATAAACTAAAGGTCATCATTTTGATCACTTGCTAGGTTAATGTACTCATTAATATCAAATTTTTATGTATTACTAATAAAAATAGTAATTTCTACTTTGGAAAGAGAAATGTTGTTAAAAGTAAGTGATAAACAGAAAAATCTTTCAAGGAAAAGTTATTTTGTGTATATTCAGCTGCTGCTATAAAACGTATTGATTTTTGTTTGAAAATAACAAGTTAACCTTGATATGACTTTGAAAACATACTCAAAATAAATAAACAAACCTGTTACACTTCTGTCTTTAAAACAAACACATCCAATTTTAAACATTTTTTTTCTGCAATACTTTGTTTTGGAGATATTTCACTTTTTCAGGTTAAATGCCTCACCCTGTATATGTACAAAAGAAGAATATGAGAATTAAGATATAAATTAACATATTGTTTTTGCTTTGAAGCAGTTGTTAAGAGGTAAAACGGTATTTTATATAATATATATATATAATTGGTGTCCCTAAATGTAGGGATGTGTTCCTGTCACCAAAACATTACAAAAAGTTTGTATGAACACGGGTCCGAAAATCTTTGTTAGGGAGTTATAAGGTTTATTGCTAATGGTACATATGAGGCATTTAATAACATAGATTTACAAAAATTGTTCAAGTGACCTCTTCCTGCTTCGGTGCATCCACTGAGCCTGTGTTTCATGCTTTGCCATACTCTATTGAAAATTCCTGGAGTGTTTCGAATTTGGTCAAAGCCATTTTGGATATGCTCCCTCGGAACATCAACATTAGGTACAGTGTTATGAAAGTTTCTTCTGAATAACACAAAACAGAAAAAAAGACAATCAGACAAAACAAAACAAATGCCATGACCAATTGTAAAGAAGAAAGTGCATAAAAATGCAAGTTTACATAAGTGATTTACATAATCAGAAGTTACTATAGAGAATTTCTTTCATAACTCCCTAACAAAGGATTTTTGGACTCATGTTCATATGAACCTTTTTGTAATGTTTTGGTGTCAGAAACAATCCCTACATTTATGTACACAAATTTAAATATANTTATTACTTTTTCACTTTATTAAAGCACCACAGCATTTATATCATATATATTTATTTACACACACACAGTAAATAAGTGTATAAATTTGTTAAGCAGAAAACATTTTTTTTATAAGAGATATTTTACGTTATTTATTAAATTTAAATGATAAATTCTATCCAAATTTATTTTTAAAAATATATCCATTAAACTTACTTTAGCTGTCTCATGGTCTACTGGAAGACTGGAATAGAGTTCACATACTGGAAAAAAGAGTCATAAATGAGTATAAATAAAAGAAAATATTACATTTCATATTTCTATTGTAAAACTTATTTTTCTTAATTATTTCATAAATTAAAACTTTCTTGAGAACTTGGCACCCTAATAATATAAATAATAGCAATGCTTTCTTAAGATACCAAAATTATTTTACTTAGAAAAATTTTCATTCTTTTAAAAGAACAGCTTCAGCACCACTTTTGAATAAGAATACAGTTCATTAACAAGCTATGTCAAATCAATGATTTAAACCTATATTTTATTATGATTTATAATTGATTTATACAGTTTACTCTTAAAAAAGTATAAAATAATCTGATCTAATGTTTTGTCAACATGTGATAACAAAGATTTTTATATCATATGAAAATCTTTATCATCATATCATGACAACAAATCAATGTATTTTCAAATACATTGTTTAGATTAACTTCAAGAAAATTTTTTAAATTGTAAACCAAAATTCTGGTGATTCTGCTGTTCATTGTTGTTAAAGTTATCATTTTTATTTAGACTCTTATATTTGAAATATAATGATTTTGTTTTTGTGTTTTTTAAAGAAAAATATAAATATTAAAATAAAAGCATATTGTTATTACTATATAAATGGAATTTATATAAACTTTAATTGTCTAGACCAGAAATGGCAATATGCAGGCTAGATATGATTCAGCAGACCATTTTTTATGGCTCATGCAGTAATTTAGCTCCACCCTTACAAACATCTGATATACCATAGTTGAAATCAACCAATGACTAGCAAGAAGAATCCACATACAAAGATTTGTTAATTCTTGAGTTATTCAAAAGAATATTTGAGACATGACATAATTTATTTCAATGTGATGAAATTTCAGTTATGTTTGCACATCTGGTAATCTTTGTACATTTATTATTGAGAAATTTGAAAATAGTGGCAAATCTTGCACATTACATTCATGACCTGACTACTTTGCATTATATATATTGATCTGTCCATGCTACAAATGTCAAAATTGTCTTCAAGACAGAAATCAATAATTTCAGTTCGATTTGTTATATAGTTGTACTGTTTGATAAATGAAAACATTAATTTTTGCATTTTTGCCATTAGATAAAACTAGAATAAAATTAATTTACTGTTCAGTTGTGAGGAGATTGGCATAATGAGAATTACAGTTGTTCTTTTAATTTGAATTACTGAATGTTTTTATTAAAAATAACATAAGCTGGTAATAATTTTAAATTATTTTGATTTATGCTTTCTGAGAAAATAAATATTAAATTTTTAGTGTAATGCTTTTTACAACATTTTTTTCTTATTACTATTCATAAGGAAGCTATTTAAAACATACAAAATTCAAAGCTCTGTTTCTCTGATAACATAGATATGAATTTTTGGCCTCGGCTATTATGAAGTTGGCCGCCACTGGTCTAAACTATTATTATTCAAACATTTCTAAAAATATCCTGAAATATACAAATGTAAAAGGGATTAATCATTGTTTAAAAAATTATATTTTCCAAGTACAATAGACCTTCAATTTAATGAACTAATTGGGGAAAGGATGTCCACTACTACTAAGTCCTTTAAACTTTTACAAATATGTTTTAAAAACATGCCAACAACAAACCTAAAATGTGCAAGATATGTTAAAATGTTATAATATATAAGTATGAATAAAATTATTATAAATTACTCAGTGTATATTATCATCTCATGGACTCATTGATCCATCTTTTAGCATTCTCTGTTTGTGAGTAATAAAAGTTCTAAACTTTTTCCTATAGGACAAAAATTGTTTATCCATTAAATCTACAGTCCCTTAAATTGAGGTTTTCCTGTACAGAAAAACTAGGATTGAATTTGTATTTGTAGTATCTTACTAATACAAATTCATCATTCATTAATACAAAATACATTATCATCTCTATTACAGAATGTTAATAAATAATGTATTATTATTATAAGCTGCTGCTATAAAACGTATTGATTTTTGTTTGAAAATAACNGTTTAACCTACTTTGGTATTCTTTAATTAATCGTTGCTTTATTTGTGTATGTTCTGTTAGTTTGGCCTGTTGGAATCCTAAGTACTTGTAGAACTCGCCCTCTTCCATGGATTCAATAACGTCTCCATTTCCAAGTGCAAAATCTTCTTTCTTCAGGATTCCTTTTTCTATGTGTAGTTTTTTGCATTTGTCTAGGCCAAACTCCATTTGTATGTCCTTAGTGTATGAATGTGTGATTTGTAGGAGTTGATGAAGTTGTTTTTGTGTGGATGCATTTATTATTATTATTATTATTATAAATGCATTATTATTATATCAGCTTATTATTATAAGCTGATAGTTATATAATTAATAAGATATTAAATGCTAGATAAAACTTGAAAGAGTAAAAGGAGTCAGGATATTTATTTGGATAAAGCCTTAATATAAAGGATTAAGCCTTTATATTAAGGCTTAATCCAAATAAATATCCTGATTCCTTCAACTTTTTCAAGATTTTTCTAACATTTATATTCATGGAGTTGTCTTTAGTTATAAGATGTATTGTTAGAGATGTATTATCATCAGATTATTTTGAGTAATTTGAAAGAAAGATTGCTGAAATTCAAATAAATGAGATATATTCTCTGAGTATAAGTCTAAATATTTCAATTTGATATTCAAATTCATAATGGTAATAAAAAATAACATCTTTGGAAAGTGAGATTTGTCATACCTGTGAATTAAAAAAAATTGGAATCAGTTTGTTGCTTAAAAATTATAATATTGTTTTTAAAATTAACTTTATTAATTGTATTAAAACTTAAAGAGTAAAATGAATTTTATTTCTTTCAAAAATGTATATCTTAATTTTTATTTAAAATTTATGATTTTTTTATGTAATATAATTTGAATTCTCAAATTTTTCTATCACCTAGGAGAAGATATTGTGTTCTTAGCTACAGATATTAATCTTCCGGGAGCAGTAGACTGGGTAATGATGCAATCATGTTTTGGTCATCACTTCATGTTGGTTTTAGAAAAACAAGAAAAATATGATGGTCATCAGCAATTCTTTGCCATTGTTCAGCTAATTGGCTCTCGAAAGCAAGCAGAAAATTTTATTTATAGGTTAGTTAATTATTTTAAATTTTTTGGAATTAACAAAAACTTCTATTAAATTAAGCTATAGACAAAAGTGGAAAAATTAAATTTTACATTAAAATAACTTCAAAATTTTATAATTATGAAGATTAAATTCTTAATAATTTATATATATATAAATGTAGTTATCACTGATTTTAAAGTAAATGACAAATGAAAGTTCTGAGATTTTTTGATAAATTGAAATTGTTGAATAAATTGAAACATCAAAAGAAGGAAATATTTGCAAGAGATTTTATTGAAACTTCTGTTGAATGGGGAATTAGCACAGAATTCACTATTTGCTTCTGTTTTTTGTTTTGTTTTAGTACTTGACACATTAGTTGCTGTTTTCAAGTCAGAAAATTTTTTTCAGTAATTCTGGTATACAATCCATGAAATTGAAATTATAGTGATATGCAACAGTATGGAAAGCAAAGCACCTTCAGCAACACTTGCTGTGTCTTCCAGTCCAAAGAAAATTTGTCAATTTTTCTGATGAAATCTTAGTATTACATATTATTACTATATTTAAAGTGTGTTGGAGAGGAAAATTCCTCTCACACTTTAAATGTTTCTCAGTAGTATTAGGTAATTCTGTCTTGCACTTTGTGGTTTTTCAATTGACACATGTTTATGTATTAAAAGTAATTTATTCAGTTTTCCATTCTTGTCTTTCAGGACAAAAGCATGGATATTTTTGTGATAGTTTGACTGTAAATTTGCAATTATCTCTTCAGCGTATTCATTGATCATCTGAAACAATTAAAATTAATCATTAATATTATGCAAGCAACATAAAGCAACATTTTTGAAACATCACTAGATGATAATTAATGTGTTTTCAGATTTCTTAAACAATTATTTTTCTGTATATTATAATAAATAAAAGTTTATTTCTAGATACTTCACATGATAGGTTGATTTAAAAAAACAATTTATTTGATGAATATAAGTGGATAAACTGTATATTATTATAAATAGTAAACACAACAAACTCTAAATCCTCCACATATGACCAAAAATTGCAGGTTGCTAATGAAAATCAAAATTAGACAAAGAAAGCAAAAACATGATAAAAATGTAACATTGGAATTGGAAACACTTTTTTATTTCTGATACAATTGGTTAGGTAGGCAACTTCTGAATTCTGAATTTAACACTGCACTGTTTACATTAGAGAAAAATCTTTCCATTTTTCTGGGGTACTGCCAGAGTGAAGAAAAAGTGTCTAATCACTGGAAATACAAATCAGAGAATTCATAAAAATGTATGAAAACAATTAGTATTATTTCCAAAATGAGGATATATGGTAACCTGATATATTGCTGTATCTACAACAAATATTTTTTGCTGTGTTTTCATTTTGTATTTTAAATAAAAGATTACTTATGCATTAGTTATTGTTTTCTTGTCCTTTATTTAACATTATTAAAGTTTTCAATAAGAAAAATTAATAGTTAAGAACAGAAGACATGTTTATTACATTGCATCTATGGACTATGGGATGCATCTTTATGAATTCCTATGAAAGATTAGAACAATTACTTTTGAATGTGGAAACTGAATACATATTATAATTTACAAGAATAGAATTTATAATTTGGTATAATTTGTAGAAATGCAATTCTGAACATATTTGGTCCATAGATTTTCGATATCTTGAGAGAAAAAAATGTTCATTTTAAAAAATTGCTGGGATGAATTTATTTTAACAGAAAAAATTATATTTCTTGAGACTATACATACAAGATGATGAAGGAACCGAAAGAAATTGATTCATCTTGTATAGTCTCAAGAAATATAATTTTTTCTGTTAAGAAAGAAAAATGTTCAATAAATCCAAGAGTTGAATGTTTCAATGCTTGATACCAATCAATAATATATAAAATATCTATATAGTAGAGTCCCACAAACTTGGCTTAATGTGAACCGAGAAGGTGATGAGTTACTGAAAATGATGAGTTCTATAACGTAATGATGATGCTAGTCTAAATAACTGAATTTTGTAAAGGTATTTTGTGAAGAATTTTTGCAAATTTATATATGTAACTTATTAACTACATACTATTAGTGACTATTTCTACTTGTAGTTAAACTTTAATTAAAAAAAGCTATTAGCTATTCAGAGGCTACTTTTGAGTTAATGATATTCTCATCATGATTTTTTGCAGTGGCAACTTGGAAAAACACTTGCATTCTTTGTTAACACATGGAATTGATGCTATTATCAAATGTCACTAATAAATAATAACAACTTGATAGATTGGGTCTTCTGATCTTTAAAGAATATGTTGAATATTTCAACTAATTATCTTAACATAAATATTTTAATGGATATGTACTGTACAGTGATATTGGCTACACTTAAGAATATTTCAGTGGAATTTACCCAATACATCATGTGTTTTTACTCCCTTTTACAGACTGTCCATTTTACAAAGATCATATTTTTATCACATTTCTTGTAACATGACAAATATTGAAAATCTACTACATGAAGATTTTAATCATTTTAAATGCATTTGTAAATCTACCCTTTATAATTCTTATTTTTAATATTTTTGTTTTATTGTTATCATATCCTCCTTTTTTTATGCTTTTAACTCACTTTTTTGTATTTTTATGTATGTATTTGGGCTTTATTGTTAGATGAGGAATAAATCTTACATCATATACATGATACTTCCATTTGTAATTGTGATAAATAAATAAACAAACTTATTTGATCCTAGTGTTAAGCTATAGAGGTAGAAATTAGATGACCTTTTTTAAATAACATAACAAATTTTGCATAATGTTGAATGATGAAGAGTCAAGTTTCTGGGACACTACTGTATAACAAAAATACAAACAGTTTTTATTTTTGAGAAATATTTTAAAATATTAGAGCATTGCATATTAGAGTAGAAAGGAAATTGGTTTGTGTANTCTAAGTATAGCGTTTAACCTACTTTGGTATTCTTTAATTAATCGTTGCTTTATTTGTGTATGTTCTGTTAGTTTGGCCTGTTGGAATCCTAAGTACTTGTAGAACTCGCCCTCTTCCATGGATTCAATAACGTCTCCATTTCCAAGTGCAAAATCTTCTTTCTTCAGGATTCCTTTTTCTATGTGTAGTTTTTTGCATTTGTCTAGGCCAAACTCCATTTGTATGTCCTTAGTGTATGAATGTGTGATTTGTAGGAGTTGATGAAGTTGTTTTTGTGTGGATGCATTTATTATTATTATTATTATTATAAATGCATTATTATTATATCAGCTTATTATTATAAGCTGATAGTTATATAATTAATAAGATATTAAATGCTAGATAAAACTTGAAAGAGTAAAAGGAGTCAGGATATTTATTTGGATAAAGCCTTAATATAAAGGATTAAGCCTTTATATTAAGGCTTAATCCAAATAAATATCCTGATTCCTTCAACTTTTTCAAGATTTTTCTAACATTTATATTCATGGAGTTGTCTTTAGTTATAAGATGTATTGTTAGAGATGTATTATCATCAGATTATTTTGAGTAATTTGAAAGAAAGATTGCTGAAATTCAAATAAATGAGATATATTCTCTGAGTATAAGTCTAAATATTTCAATTTGATATTCAAATTCATAATTGTAATAAAAAATAACATCTTTGGAAAGTGAGATTTGTCATACCTGTGAATTAAAAAAAAGTGGAATCAGTTTGTTGCTTAAAAATTATAATATTGTTTTTAAAATTAACTTTATTAATTGTATTAAAACTTAAAGAGTAAAATGAATTTTATTTCTTTCAAAAATGTATATCTTAATTTTTATTTAAAATTTATGATTTTTTTATGTAATATAATTTGAATTCTCAAATTTTTCTATCACCTAGGAGAAGATATTGTGTTCTTAGCTACAGATATTAATCTTCCGGGAGCAGTAGACTGGGTAATGATGCAATCATGTTTTGGTCATCACTTCATGTTGGTTTTAGAAAAACAAGAAAAATATGATGGTCATCAGCAATTCTTTGCCATTGTTCAGCTAATTGGCTCTCGAAAGCAAGCAGAAAATTTTATTTATAGGTTAGTTAATTATTTTAAATTTTTTGGAATTAACAAAAACTTCTATTAAATTAAGCTATAGACAAAAGTGGAAAAATTAAATTTTTTTTCTTTCTGTGAAAAATTAGTATTGTGCCTTCCACTCGTTTTTAAGTTATTTAGATCAAGTTTTGAATACTATCAAGTTAAAAATTCGAATGAATCGTTAACGTCCTATTAGGTATAATATGCTGTCTACATGACTACAGGCTAGCACTTTAGAGGTGAAGATGAAGGTAGAACAGTTGTAATTTATGGCTCAACATTGCATACCACTCTTTCTTCGAAAATAGATTCTGACTGTGCATTGCTTTTTCCATTTTTCTTGGATGGAATGTCACCAACTGACATTGCAATCCGAAGGAAGACTTTTCAATTTTTATTTCTATTTTTATCCGGAAGAGCACGTTCCGTTTAAATTGAAAATTTTCGTCTTTTCTTCCTAGATATATATTATAGGGGGAAAAATCAAGGTTAAAAGTGTTTCATTGCCCTCATCGATCTTTATATTTTGCGCTGATGGTGAGACTCGGCTCAACTTGTGTTTCTTGTATGTTGTTTAACCGAAGAGTCTTTACGAAGTTGTAACTTTTGTTTCTTACATTACCAGGTTGGAATTGAATACACAGAAACGACGACTGATGTGGGAGGCGACGCCTCGCAGCATTCACGAAGGAGTGCAGTCGGCCATCATGAACAGCGACTGTCTAGTGTTCGATAACAACGTAGCCCAGCTTTTCGCTGATAACGGTAACCTGGGTATCAACGTCACCATCACCGTCTGTTGATGCCATGTGCCTTTTAACAGTTAATTGGCCACTCCCAGTCTTCCACCCCCGGATCCCGCTCTAGTTCCTTCGGTCCTGTATTTAGTTTTCGTATATGTCTGTACCTAGAAAACCGGTTGCCATGGTTACCATCTCGTCTTCAATTTGTCCAAGGATGATTTGGCATGACCTTGTTTTCTGTTGTCGCGTTTATCTCATGTACTGTACCCCGTGTACGGGCCTATTTATTCGTTTGTATGGTTAAAGTATTGGACCGTATCAGGCTCCCATTCAACGTAACATTGTTTATATCTATCATACTATTTGTACATAAATAATCGTGCATATTATAAATACCCATATGTCAATAGTTTGAACCACTTGTTGTAAATAAATAAACTTTTTTCTATTTAAATGATTCTATGTGTTTTCTGCTCTGATACTGGATGTTTAAATTATTAAAAGTTTTTAGTAATTTAGTAAGGAATGCGAAATTTGTCATATGGTTAAAATAATTGCATATGAATATTCATGTTTAAAAAAAATCAGAAGTCGCGAGTAGAAAGTTAAATATAGATATCTAGAGTGTAATTTGATATTTATTTTGTTTACTAGTCAGATTTGCCTTGATGAAAATCGGACACTTGGATCGATGACACTCTTAGAGATTTATTGTTCTATCTTATTTAATGCGTAACAATAAGAATTGGAAATAATGTTACCAAATTAACTTTTTTTCATTACATTGAAAATTATTTTATCATTTAATTCTTTTTAAATATAATTNTTTTTTAAAAATGTATATATTTAATTTATTTAAAAAAGCTACTTATACTATTTGTTATCTTCATGAAGAAAGCATTTCTTTATACTGTATACAACTTTGTTAAAAAAAATTCATTAAATATAATCCATCATTATTTCTTCATTTTATGGCAGATTATTTTCTTAAATTCTGAGGTAAATAAATTAACAAAGTTTATTTCATACAGAAAATATGTATAATTGACTTTGGACATAATTGGTTCAACTGTAGATTTGGCTCATTAACAGTCCTTTATAATTGTTTGAAGCCAAAGAAACAAATAAACAAACAAGTAAAGCAGTAATAAATCTAGAAATTGTATCTTAAACAAAAAACTTTTATAAATTAAAGTTATCAATATAAGTCACCTTAATTTTATTAAAAATAGTAGTTAATTTAGTAACATTTGACACATCTATTAATCTTAAATTTTTGTCATTCATGATTTAAACCAGTCACATTAAATAACAAAGCACTACTTTAAGTAATTTTTGACTTTTATACTTCATCTACTTTCCAGATCACACAATTGTTATGCTATTAGTGCCTTAAATAGTAGGCAATTTATTTAGTTAATAGATATTTTATTGGTACATTGCCAAAACTGGATTTTTCAAATAGTCAGTTTTATCATTAATGCTCTAGTTCATTAAATTTAATTGTCATTCCTTTCCAGAAATAGTTAGATTACTAATATGTAAGCACATTTAGTAAGATTCCATCAGTGTTATAGGTCTGAATTAAATGATATTTTCCATGAAGACTCATTGGATCAACTTAATCTATTTAACTCTAAATGCAATAGTTGGTAAATTGAATGTATAGAAATTCCAAATACAGTATGTAAATTTACAGATAAATCTGTGTCTAATATATTTTATTTTGCCTAACAAAAGTTCACAATTTAATGAATTGATTGTTTATGCAGTTTATAATTAAAAAACTACTACTTTCTTTGAACATATTGTACTTATTACACTCATATGTCTAGTTATCATACAATTAAGAATTAAGTCTAGTTATCATACAATTCACACATCCTAGTACTGCCATAAATGTGTACAAAAAATAAATTATTTACAAACATTGACAAAGAATAAATATTTAATGTAAGTAGAAAATAAAAAATTCAAAATCTTTTGAAGGACTGAAATTAAAGTTTGTTATATATTAAGTGATATATTTATTTATTTATAAAAATGTTGAAAGTTGGTTTATTTTATTATATTTGTAACTAAATATATGATAATTTTGAACTATTATTGTAATGTTATAATTAAAAATAAAGTAATGACTATAATCTTATTATCAAATGTCACCAATGAATAATAATAACTTGATAGATTGGGTCTTCTGATCTTTAAAGAATCTGTTGAATATTTCAACTAATTATCTTAACATAAATATTTTAATGGATATGTACTGTACAGTGATATTGGCTACACTTAAGAATATTTCAGTGGAATTTACCCAATACATCATGTGTTTTTACTCCCTTTTACAGACTGTCCATTTTACAAAGATCATACTTTTATCACATTTCTTGTAACATGACAAATATTGAAAATCTACTACATGAAGATTTTAATCATTTTAAATGCATTTGTAAATCTACCCTTTATAATTCTTATTTTTAATATTTTTGTTTTATTGTTATCATATCCTCCTTTTTTTATGCTTTTAACTCACTTTTTTGTATTTTTATGTATGTATTTGGGCTTTATTGTTAGATGAGGAATAAATCTTACATCATATACATGATACTTCCATTTGTAATTGTGATAAATAAATAAACAAACTTATTTGATCCTAGTGTTAAGCTATAGAGGTAGAAATTAGATGACCTTTTTTAAATAACATAACAAATTTTGCATAATGTTGAATGATGAAGAGTCAAGTTTCTGGGACACTACTGTATAACAAAAATACAAACAGTTTTTATTTTTGAGAAATATTTTAAAATATTAGAGCATTGCATATTAGAGTAGAAAGGAAATTGGTTTGTGTATTGAATGATATGATAGAATTTATTTTAGCAAAAAGTTAAATTTTACATCGCTGAGAAAATACTATAAAAATTTACTCATAGTTTATATTTTAATTGAAACTGTTATAACATACTTTTTTCTTGTTGAAAACTAATACTTGTTATATAAGACTGAAATGACTATCAGGGCTTAATTATAGATAACTTGTGAAGGTCATTAGAGATAACTTATAATATGCTAGGAGAACTATAAAAACTGATTCTTGTTTTTAAAATTTAATTAACTTTAAATAAAAAAGTTAATTGAAGTTAAAAACAAGGATGGCGATGAAAAATATCATTTATGAATAGTGTTTTAATTAAAATGTAAATTTGAAAATTAAGTTTGACATATAAATTATTTTATGAAAAGTTTGGATAAAATTGCAAACTTCTTAACATATTTCTAGAGAATATAAATTGTATATACTGAAGCATAAATNTATAATTTCTGTTTTGCATTAATTGTATTTACAATATTAACAAAATTTTGTCTGTATATAATTAAAACATAAGATTAATACTTAGAATGTATTTTTAAGGCTTTAATACTTTTATATATTTTTTTATTAAATTAATTTAATATATTCTACAGTTTTCCTTTAGTTTTAAGAATTATTTTTTTTTAGATCTAAGTAAAGTATAATGAATTTATGTAATCACAAATATTAATGATAAATACTACAAAATTGAAACAAAAAGAAAATAGATATTGAATAAGCATTTTGAAAGTAAAATATGTGCTACAAATATTTAAAATGTGTTTTTTAAATTGAAGGATTTTTACTTATAATTATGAAATTTAATTATTCAAATCAGCTTTTAATTATAATTTTAGATCTGCTTATACAAAATCTACAATATTTTTTTTCTCTGAGTAAAACATTTTAATATTGTTACATAATTGACTTATTATTTAACTTACAAGCTGTTTCAAATAATTTGTTACTCTGTGTTCATATTTATATTTGATGATAGATTTTAATTAAAAATTTGTTAGTATTGTATTTAATGAAGAATTTGATTAAAATTTTAATAATAATTACAGGTTTTTAAATGTGCGACTTTAAAAGTCGTTTTATTATCTACTTTCTTGTTAAGAGTACAAAATATTTTTTTTTATCTGTATAGTGTTAAAAAAAGAATTAACAAAATTATTTTAAAATTATCATCAATTCAAGGATAGCATTTCTTCTATAAAGGTTGTATACAGGCAACTGATGATTAAACAAATAAATAATATAATTTATTTATGAAATTCACAATGGGCATAGTGCTATTTTGTTTTTAAAATACTCAAGGAGGAAACAATATAAAAAAACAAAACTTTTTTGGAAGAAGTAGGTTTTTTCAAAGTAAATCTCATTTTAAGCTTCTAAAATGATAATTATTATGATTAATGACTAATTTATATAAAATAAATTTCCTCAACAGGATAAATAGCAATTGAATAAATAAATAGTTTTCATAGCTTTAAAGTTTTATCATTGTAAGTGTCATACAACTTTTAGTTGTATGTGAAAAACATCTGGAATATTAAATGCTTCAGAGGATTATTTGAAATTTTAACAAGGGATCATAACTGTGCTATTAAATAAGATGATCTGAAACAATTTATAATAATGTTATTATCTTAGTTAATTTCTGTCATTTACATATACAGTAGAACCTCGATTATCCGGACTAATTGGGGATGAAGATAGTCCGGATAATGAAGAATTCGGATAATCGAAACAAATACTTTAATTTGTCTTTTAATGATAACACAACACATTTTCTTTTCGATGACATATCGGTAATATTAAAAATAAATACTGTATTTAAATCGTGATCAAATTTTCAAGAAACAAACGTTCGTATTGAATTTGGACTACTACTGACCAGCGCTAACAGACTACCTATTGTTTAAAAGGCCCTCTGGTGGAGCAAGAAGACGGATTTTATAAAATAAAAAGCAGTTGAAACTGCATTTTTATGAATAAAAATTTGACAAACTATTTGTCGTTTTATGACGACTAAAACTTTTTCGTCGCGTTCGCGGCTTTTAAGTAATGCATAAACCTTCGAGGCGTGAGGCCCTTCGGACCGCGAGGCATAGGTCCGAAGGGTCTCACGCCTCGCGTGTCATTTCTATCGCGTCATCATTTCTATGACCAAGGGCGGCGTATGGCCCACGTTGCCCATACGCCGCCCTTGGTCATAGAAATGATGTAATTTGAATATAAATTATTTAGAAATACGGGTATGTCAAGTTATATTTTTTATTATGACGCAAAATATATTTGAGTTTACGACCACTGTGCTGGGTGAGACGTTGTTGAAACAAAGTTATTCATTTCATCACGTACATAAACAGTATCGTAATTCGCCAAGTGCAAATCAGCAAATTTGTAAAATTTTTGTTTTTGAACAATCCGGATAATAGAGGTTTGGATAATCGAGGTTCTACTGTATATANAACAGTCCAGTACTAAATATTTAATAGAAAACAAACGTTTTTGACTGTACTTTCGGTCTTCTTAAGTTTAAAAAAATCAGTGAGATTCAAAGAACAAAAATTATGAAATTATTTTCAAAAACCTGGAACAGCACAAGCAGTAATTTTTGTTCTTCGAATGTACTTGTTCAAATCTCATTTATTTTCCATTGAATATTTAGTACTGGACTGTTAAGGTTTTTGAGTGTTAATTTATATGCGTTCCAGTATTCGTGTACAAAGGTTTTTAATTTAAGTTTTTATTCTATATTTTTTTATGTATAATTTCTGTTTTGCATTAATTGTATTTACAATATTAACAAAATTTTGTCNATAAAAAAAAATTTTTTTTGATAAATTTATTTTTTTTATCAGCTGGGGTATAGACATTCCTTCTAATGTTGTAAACAGAAAGCGAAGAAAAAATTTAATCTGCTTTTGCTAATTGAATAAATTTTTACTACAGAAAAAGAATTTTCTTCTGTTTTGATAAAATTTGCTTTTATTTTAATTTCCGCTAAAAAATTAATTTTTTTTCATGTATTGATTTTATATGGAAAACTTTTCTAAATTAAAAAAAAATTGTCATAGTTAAATTTCTAAAAATGAATGTTTTAGAAAGCAATAATTTTAACTTAGGTTAATAAAACAAATGCTTACATAGTTAAAGAAGTATATCAAAATGGGTTAACATCAATTAGTGAGATGATTAACATGAACCTGTCTTTTGCTAATAACAATTATTTAAGATATAAAATAATAGAAATTATGAAAATGAGTGAAAATTTTTATATTTTGTAATACTTTAAGTATGCATTTTTGTTCATTATAAAGTTTCAGTTTAACTTTTTATTTAATCGCAATGATTATGATAATCTATGTAATTTTTAAATACTACAGTATTAAGTTAAATTTTTTAATATGATTACTAATACTGTAATTACTTAATCTTTATTCTTAACATTTAATTTTAAAAGATTTATTTAATCTTTTCCACAAAAATTAAGTCAATTGGTTAAGTCAAATCATCTGTAAAAAATGTTATGCAGATGAAATTTCTGTTATTAATCAATTTTATAAAAACACATACTTGGAACATGGTAAGAATGACAAAAATTATATTTTTCATAAATAGAAATTAAATTGCAATGAAATTTTTAATTTTTGAAGTATATATTTAAAATAATAATCTATTTATTTTTGTTTCATTAAATGATTCAGATAGCCTATTGATATTATCAAATTATATCTGGATTACAAGTTTCAATATCCAGAAGATTAAATAAATGATTAGTCCAGAACAGTGTTTTTCAACCTGTGGGTCGCGACCCCCAGGGGGTCGCGGATAAAAGAAAAAGACAAGTGTTTTGTAGGTCCTACACTACAATAAAGAAAACTACAATTTCAGTGAGAAGGCTGTATCTGTTTATTTTACAGTACAATTGGTTTTTCAGTTGATATTTAGGTGTCAACAGAAAGAAAATTAAATACGTAGTTTTTAAAATCACTGATATAGTTTTAATATGGCCCTGGGGGGTCCCAGAATTGTTTAACTTGTAAAGGGGTCGCGTATTTAAGAAAGTTGAAAAACACTGGTCCAAAACATAAGTAAATATTTAGCGCACAGACTTTAGTATGTTTTAATGAGTTCAGTAATAAATCCTCGATATTTATGAAGGATTTATTACTAGTAGTCCAGCATAAATTAGTTCTTGGTTATATTTTTACAGAGGAAACTTTAAACATAAATCTATACACTGAGATGTATTATACTTCATGTACTGTACATAAAATAATTACAGTGCAAATGATTAAATGAAACACTTTAAATTCTAAATTGCTTTATTTATAAAATATAATAATAATAATAATAATATAAAATATTTGTCAAAATTCGATTTCTGTATGTATACAGAAGTTACTTTGATTTTTAATGCATTACTTATCTTTAAGCATTGTGATACAAATTATAGTTTAAGTTGAGGATAACAGATGGCACTTCTTGCGTTTAAATTTTTATTGGTTCCTGTCTCCCTATATATTGTGTATATAAACAAAATTCTAAAGAAGCTTTTAGAGAAAAGTGAATTATTACATATTAATTTTATACTGCTTACATATTGGTTATTCTCTTATAATATTTAAAAATTAAATTTTTTTTCTTTCTGTGAAAAATTAGTATTGTGCCTTCCACTCGTTTTTAAGTTATTTAGATCAAGTTTTGAATACTATCAAGTTAAAAATTCGAATGAATCGTTAACGTCCTATTAGGTATAATATGCTGTCTACATGACTACAGGCTAGCACTTTAGAGGTGAAGATGAAGGTAGAACAGTTGTAATTTATGGCTCAACATTGCATACCACTCTTTCTTCGAAAATAGATTCTGACTGTGCATTGCTTTTTCCATTTTTCTTGGATGGAATGTCACCAACTGACATTGCAATCCGAAGGAAGACTTTTCAATTTTTATTTCTATTTTTATCCGGAAGAGCACGTTCCGTTTAAATTGAAAATTTTCGTCTTTTCTTCCTAGATATATATTATAGGGGGAAAAATCAAGGTTAAAAGTGTTTCATTGCCCTCATCGATCTTTATATTTTGCGCTGATGGTGAGACTCGGCTCAACTTGTGTTTCTTGTATGTTGTTTAACCGAAGAGTCTTTACGAAGTTGTAACTTTTGTTTCTTACATTACCAGGTTGGAATTGAATACACAGAAACGACGACTGATGTGGGAGGCGACGCCTCGCAGCATTCACGAAGGAGTGCAGTCGGCCATCATGAACAGCGACTGTCTAGTGTTCGATAACAACGTAGCCCAGCTTTTCGCTGATAACGGTAACCTGGGTATCAACGTCACCATCACCGTCTGTTGATGCCATGTGCCTTTTAACAGTTAATTGGCCACTCCCAGTCTTCCACCCCCGGATCCCGCTCTAGTTCCTTCGGTCCTGTATTTAGTTTTCGTATATGTCTGTACCTAGAAAACCGGTTGCCATGGTTACCATCTCGTCTTCAATTTGTCCAAGGATGATTTGGCATGACCTTGTTTTCTGTTGTCGCGTTTATCTCATGTACTGTACCCCGTGTACGGGCCTATTTATTCGTTTGTATGGTTAAAGTATTGGACCGTATCAGGCTCCCATTCAACGTAACATTGTTTATATCTATCATACTATTTGTACATAAATAATCGTGCATATTATAAATACCCATATGTCAATAGTTTGAACCACTTGTTGTAAATAAATAAACTTTTTTCTATTTAAATGATTCTATGTGTTTTCTGCTCTGATACTGGATGTTTAAATTATTAAAAGTTTTTAGTAATTTAGTAAGGAATGCGAAATTTGTCATATGGTTAAAATAATTGCATATGAATATTCATGTTTAAAAAAAATCAGAAGTCGCGAGTAGAAAGTTAAATATAGATATCTAGAGTGTAATTTGATATTTATTTTGTTTACTAGTCAGATTTGCCTTGATGAAAATCGGACACTTGGATCGATGACACTCTTAGAGATTTATTGTTCTATCTTATTTAATGCGTAACAATAAGAATTGGAAATAATGTTACCAAATTAACTTTTTTTCATTACATTGAAAATTATTTTATCATTTAATTCTTTTTAAATATAATTAACCCGTGTTTCTCCACATAAATTTAAAAATAATCTATTATTATTAAGATTTAGATATTTTTTAAAAAATAGCACGTATTCTCTTCGATTTGTTTATTTTTCTTCGTTTCTCGTGAAATGTGCGCTTCGTGTTTTTTTTTAAATCACTTAGAGGATAGTTTTTATTAGTAAAAAGTACGATCATCACTCACGTTAATTAAAGGGAAAATATACAGAGGAAGATTTACTAAAAATTTGCTTTTGTTATCACAAAGGAGAGAAGGAACACGGAGCAAGTAATCCCTCTCTTCCGCTATGTGGCACATCTCTGCAGAGCCAATTATACAAACATAGTTCTCGGAACCATCGAAAGTACAAACAATGGGATGTAACAAGAATAAGTGCAGCCCCGAGGTAGCATTCTCCTATGGGAAGTCGCGCACTTCATCTGGAGAGGATTTACCCTGACAATGTGCCCTCCCTTCTTTTGTATGGGAACGGAATTAAAAGACCATTTGTCACATCTGGTTGTACACCCCTGTCGGGATAAGTTGCGCTCTGACACCTCCGCTTATTCAGCCCTCCTGTCACTAAACGGACGTGTTGACAGTTCTCCGCTTGTCTCCCCGGGCTAACTGCACTGCTCTTTCAAATTTTTGTGTTAAGAGGTGGCACATTGTAAGCTGTGCACATTACCTTTCCCTATTTTCTCCTGGTGGCGCCGCTTTCCGATTGGTCTTAGCTTTCCGTCACGTGATGGAGGAGGGTTGGATGTCAGTCGCACACGGCCAGTCCCTCGACAGTTAAAGAGTTGCTAATGCACTGCACTACACGGATATAACTTGGCTGGCTATAAAATCTAATTCCCTACTTTTCCCACTTTCCTGTTTCCTTTGTTTGTTTCACTTTTGTGCTGTCTCGTGAGTAATCAATAAAGCGCTATTGGCTTCCCGCCGGCTGACACGATGGCCTCGAGTCATCTCCTCTTTTTGCTGGCGGGATGGACATTCTTCGATGGCGTATTTTCGTCGTCTTCCTACATCTCCGAGTGGACGTCAGCCGGAACAAGAATGAACAAACCGACATGTGTCGATATTCCCGAAAATTTGACGCTGTGTCACGGCATAGGCTATACCCAGATGAGGCTGCCGAATCTCTTGGATCACGATAGTATGTCTGAAGTGTCTCAGCAGGCTATTTCCTGGGTTCCTCTCTTTAATTTGAAATGCCATCCCGATACCCAACTCTTCCTATGTTCCCTTTTCTCTCCAGTTTGCCTAGATAGGCCTATATATCCATGCCGATCATTATGTGAAGCTGTCAAACGTGGTTGCGAAGGTAGGATGAGCACGTACGGTTTTCCCTGGCCCGACATGGTTCGATGTGATAAGTTTCCGTACGACAATGACATGTGCATCACAATCCAATCGCAAGATAGTGGAGGTAAGTACTTTTCCATTCCTCTTAACTAATCATACTTTATAATAGTTTCATACATATTACATAGAAAATTGCTTGTTTTACATTAACGGTTAATTACTAACTTTAAACTATGGAAATGGTATAAATTTTACTTCAATGCTGTCTTAAGCAAGAAAAAAATTTTGTCATAGCCTAATTTATCGTCTTATGGTCACTATGTGTTAATAGAGAAACAAATAGGTCATTTTAGAGAGAAAGTAGCCATCATCAGTCATTGGCGTATACCTGTTGACATATCCCTGCAACTGTCATTATCACTTCCTTCCCCTGACAATTAAGTTGCAATCCAGGTTGGTGGCTCCACCCTATCAATCTCTCACTGTCCCATTCTTCTTGTAGCAAATTACCCGGTTCTGCCACACCTGGCGAATTGGGAATTAAGAATTGTGGCGTAAATCGATAGGCAGTGTGGGAAAGTGGAGAAAAGTCAAGGTAGAAAACATTGAATATGACTTTTTTCTTATCTACTACGTTTATTTTGCTAGACAGTCTCTAAACATGTTGTATGATAGATGGGAACGAGGATGGACCACCTGGATGGAAGAGATATGGGAACCTTGGACCGACCCGTACCCAGACTGCAGAACTTTTGTTCATCCCTAAGGCTAAAGTGCACAGCTATTTAAGACTGACATGTAAACTAAAACGGTGAGGATCTATTACTTCTCTGTCACCCACTGAGACGCTAAAAGCAAACATTTGTATTTTTTGACAGCCCGGAATCATTTAGCACTCTTCTTCTTCTGTTTGCTTTGTTATTTGTATTTTGAAGTATTGACAATAACTTCCTTCATTAACACTAGAGGAAAATCTTGTCCAGACAGTTGGATGCTACGAGCTAATTCCTTGTGGAATGCCATTCCAAAGAAATCGATGTCGTCGAATTTCATTCCGAATCCATCTTTGACGTTTGAAGTAGCGAAACAAGTTTGTTAAAATGTCTAATTTAGGAAAATGGAAAATTTTATCCGGTGTTTAAAAAACTCTTAAAGTTACGAAAACGTTTTTTAGTTTTTATTAAAATACTTTTCTTAGTCGTATACAAATAATTTCATGGTTTTTGTGGTGTTAGGTTTTTTTTTCTTTCCTTTAACTAAACTCTTATTAGGCTATCTCCGGTTTGAACTTATCTGCGAGAACAAAAGTAAGGTATTTGAAGTTTATCTTGAGGGGGAGAGATAACGTCAGATGAAATCCATGAGTGGAATTTAAAACTTTACTTCTTGTGACGAGAGATGATAGATAAAAATCCCTGCCATTCCGAATTTCTATATTTGACCCGAGTTTTTTCCCACCAAACACGATGAATTACTGCTGATAGAAATGGAATTTCGTTATATTGCAAATAAAACAGATAATTAATAGTCTATATATATTTTTCAATTTATAAAGGTTCTGTTTATAGGTAATCTTACACAATAATTCAAAAAAAAAAAAAGAAGGAATTGATAGAGACCTGTTCTTGTTTTCCGATTTTTATCTCGAAGCTTTACAGAAACTGGATCGGAATTGTCTAATTATAACAATAAATTGTTATTGTTTTCGGAGAGAGAGAATAGCCGGCAGAATATAGGATCTAGTTATCTGACTTTGATCGAGAGTAACATGTAACCTTCTTGAAATCTGTTATTAGATTATTGATGCATTTCGGAGGGGAAGTTTTTCAAAATGTTTTACTTAATGAGAATAGGAATTGACGTTGGCGCCTGTTCTAAAATTAGTAAATTGATCGAATTTATTCGATAGATCTCGTTTTAGAATTATAATATTAACAATTTCCAATTTATCTATTACAAAATGTATTAATTTTTATTTATAAATCTATTTGTGATTTTCGGAAGATCGTTTTATTGAACATTTTTTTTGTTTTTAGTTTCGCGTAAGGAATTTTAAGAATTTTTCATTGTAACTGCTAAAGAAATTGGTATTAATGATAGATTATTTATTTTATAAACGAGTTTCATAGGTTAATTTGTTTTGCTACGTTTTCGAATTTTCACGAGGAAGTGGAATTAGAATAGCCATTGGATAGATAATTGAGAGGAAATGGACTGATTAAATAGTTGGCCTGATGAAAAATCAGCAAGAACTTTGTCTACGAAAATATAAATTGATCAAAAATTAATAAAAATGAAATTATCCATTTAATTAAATTTTTCTTTTTAAGAAAGAAAAAAAAAGATCTAAAAATTCCGAACGTTTATGAAAAAGTGAGTCGAAATTTTGTATAAAAGTTAGATGTTTTTATACGAATTTAATTTTAATATCTTAATGAAAATGATATCCACTGGCAATTCCCTTCTGCTTTGTAACCATTGAATCGAGGAAAGGAAATCTTATTTTTGGCCCTCCTTTATCAATTTTTAGTCCTAATTACGTAAAATTCCTTTAACTTTTTCGTGCATGAAATAAATATTCTATTATAAATAAAAATTATATTCTAGTTTTATTGCGAGTTAAGTATGTAGAATACTTGAAAATTTAAAAATCTTTTCGTCATATTATAACTAAAACTGCCTGTCCTTTTATATTTCATAGAAATTCCAAGCATGTAATTGTTGTGTCCGCAATACTGTAATGATATAAACATAGTTATGTTCTGTTAATCAGTTTCTGTTTAATTTAAAAACTTAAATGCGCTTTGCTACTTCAGCTTTACTTTTTTTTTCTGGAATTTAATTAAAGAAGTAGTAACACTTGCTTTAGTAGTTTTAATGAGATGTAGAAATGATTAAATGTCATTGCTGTTGGATTTGTAAATTTTTATCTTCAGCATTACTAAAATTTATAAAATGTAATTATTTATTTAATTAAATTTTAAAAAATCAATTAAGAAACTTTTAAAATATTCTAATAAAATTCTTATGATACAAACGAAATTAGTTGAATTTATATAATGTAAAGGTTAGAAAACATCATTTATATGAATCTTCTAAATTAATTTATCGTAAAGTTTACAAATATGTAAATTCGTTCCATGATTAAAATTCAAATACGATCATATTAACGCATGAATATTATCAAGAACATCAGCGTACTTAATGTCATGGAAAGGATATGCAAGTTAGATTTAATGAAATGTAGAAAATATATTACAAGACCTTAGCGAAAAATTTAGTCAGTCATGTCTGCAATGGATTAAAAAGTAAAAGAAGAGAATCAAATTATTCAAGTAATCAAAAGTTTCTTGCCGAATTTTACAATCCTGCTTATCCAATATATCAGCTTTCAACGTTAAAATTCGGCATCCTTTTTAACAGTTTTTCAAAATTTCGATTTCTATATTTTATAATATTTTGTTTCAAGTAGTTCTGTTCGTAATTATTTAATATTTTATATTAAAATTGAATAATGTGTGTAAAATTTTTAACAATTTCTAAAGAAATTTCGAATTTTTATGGTGATTTTTGTAAGTTATTCTACAAGCCACGTATGGAAGGGATACTCATTATGCAATTTTTCTTTTTGTTTAGAATTTTACAAATTCCTGTTTTTGGAATAATATTTCATCAAATAATCGATGAGTCTATTGTTTATTTTTTACATAAATAAATTCCTGTTTGAATTGTTTGTTTTGCCTATTATTATTATTCCAACAAACATAGGAGTAACTGCTAAAAATTGTTTTTAAGACATTTAATATAATACTTGACAGTTTTATATGAACGATTATTCGAGTTTAATAATATATTTTTCATGTTAAATAAGAACGAATAATGTAAATATTCTTATTTTTATTATATTAAGACATCTATACATACGTATATGTGACGATAATATTTGAAAGATGAGTACTATAAGAAATCAACAGTTTCAAATTTCTTTCATATAACGCTACGAAGATAGCTTCGAGTAACAGCTTAGTAAGCAATTACGACGACACAAAAACAATATTTGTCTGTAATCTTTTGCATTGAACATTGTTGTAGGAGAAGCAAAGCATTAAAGGTTGCAGATCGAATAATCCTTTAAGGGATTATCGGACAAGAAAGACGAAGTAGACTTTCAATCCCGTTAGTGCCGTCTTCGTTTGTCAGATCCCTCCCAATCTCCCAGACTGTTGAAGATTTGGTTTCTGTCCCATTTTATTGGATTGACTGTCATGTCTGAGATAGAATACCAAATACCCCGTTACGAACTTGTAATCCTCCTCTCCATTTTTTTTTTCTAAGTTTCTTTCTCCACTGCAAATCATTTTCTTGCTTCTATATCGTCTACCAAACTACCGAGTGGGATTTAACCCTCTTCATGTACTTAGTTTATCTGTATAAATTTGGTTCCTCTCGTAGCATCATAATTAATTTTAAAATCGATACTCTGCTTAGTTACATTGCCGAGCAAAATTCTAATACATTTAATGTAATTTAAGAAATAATCTGAAAAGAACATTAAAGCTGACAAAAGGATATTTCATAATTTTTTTTTAATGATTCAAGTGGTTTCGTATGTGGATGCCCAATTAAATCTTCGTGTAATGATGCTCTTGTGTTCTTAGGAGATAAGAATGTAATTTTCATTTTGAAAATTTCTGAGTCATTTCAATGGGAGCTTTACTAATAAAAGCCTATCGATGTATATGGATTTTTCATTATTTTATAAGTTGCTAATAAAAATTAGTTTGCTTTTATAAAGTTTTTTAAAAGAATTTGTTTGACGTGAATTTTTAAATAAATTAAAAGCAATTTTTTTTATAATGGACGATCTGGATAAGAGTATTTTTATCTTCATTTTAAAATACTTATAGAAATGATATAAAATTATAATAAATACGATAAATTTACATTTTTTCATATTTAATTTGCTTTTCATTTATTTTGTCATTGTAATGATTTTTCTTCCAATTACAATAACGATGAGTTGTACCATTTAAATGTTAAACTATAGTAGGTTTGGCTTTGAAAATTTTTCCTTTTTTTCAAATAATTCACAAAATTTTTCGAAAATTTAAAAAATTCTTGTAGAAAACTAATTTGAAAATATCAAAAGTTTCGATTTTCTATTGTTAAAATCAAGAATTTGGTGATACAATTCGAGTTAGAAGGCGAATGAGAGCAGGTAATTTTATTATTATTATTATAGATAGATCTATTAAGCTTGTAGTTGTTTGGATTTTTGTTTTATTCCTTATCTGTTAACTAGTTAGCCAGACCTTAACCACTTCCCTTCACCAGAAGATGAATCATTATTTAGTGAAGCGGTTATGAGTAGTAGAATAACAGTTGCAATGCCATAGGAGTAAGTGAATGGCATAAAAATGCTGCATTTATCATTCAACGTCAGTGATAATGCAATTAGATATATAATAACTATCGTGTAACATAATTAAAAACGGCGATAAAAACAGAATTTCTAAATAAAAGATTAAGAAAAAAAAAGGCAACAATTCTTAGCATTAACAACATTGCAAAATGAAACAGTAGACACGTTTAAAATTGATTTTTGTTGGTGAATGGGCTTTTAGTTATAAATAAATATGCAATTGCGGTCTTGGGTTTTTTAATTTTGTATCAGTTTACAGTTCCTTCCATCATCTATTAATATTTGATATGCAGTCAGTTGAAATTTAAACTGTCTGAATAACGTTTTTATTGATCAAGAATATAATGAAATTTTATTTATTTTTTAAAATAAATTTTCTAATATTAAAAATAAATAAATGACTTTTAATTACTATGTTTATTATAAAATTTAATCGAAAACATTTTGGTTTATGGAACTTAATGGTTTTTTTGTGTAGTTGGTTTTATGGTATTTATAAAGTAAAATATTTAAACATTTTATTTATTGTTTAATAAAATCTTTAAACTTAAAATTTATTATCAAATATTCGACAGGTTATTATAATTTTTACATCATTTCATAAATAATTTTAATATATAAAGTTTAAGATTATTCTATTAAAAAGTTTCCAACAATAAATAGCGACGATTAATTTTTAAAAATATTTTGTTTGCTTTTCTTTAAATTTAAGTTTACTTAATGTCTTTTTCATTTTTATTTAATTATTTAACATAAATCATATAATTCCTATACAAACAGTGCATAAACTGTAATGAATTCCTCTTCCACAAAAATAATAATGTTATACAAAATATTATATTTATAAAAATTTTAATCTCTGCGTATCGTTTTACAAAACAAAAACATTATAGTATATTATATTAAACCTAATTATAAAATATATCATATTACGTTTGATGAATTCGGTGCTTATAAGGAATTTAATACAGCGTACAAATTTTAAGTTTTAGTATTGAATAAAACAGCAAAAGCTGTAAGAAAAAAAAGAAGAAGTTTTAGAAGCTCATTTTAAAGTTTTTTTTCCTCGTTCTTTCGAAAGAACTTTTAAAATATGCTAATAACACGAGAACTTCTATTGTAATAAAACGGTTAGTTCAATTATAGGTTCGTAATATGATAATAGTTTCATGGAAACGAAATTAGATTCTCATTGTATTTTAATTGATGCTGTTTCATCGTTTAAATATTCAGAAATAAAACATTGTATTACTCTCGGTATTAAAAATGTCTGGCAAATATATAATTTATATTTTGCTATGTATTTTTCATAAGGTCAAACGAGAAGCAAGTAAAAATTGCTTTGAATTTAAAATCACAGTGAAAAGATGGCTTCATTCTTCATATTACAATTGAAATAGTTTAATATTTCTTATATGAAAAGTTGAATTATTAATAAAACATGAATGGCAATAAAAATTGTTGTTAATTTTACAATATTGTGGTAACTTCTGCATAGTATAATTTTTTACACTTCAGGTAAGACAGAATAAAAGAATTTTGTTATTGTTTGAAAGTGTTTTATCATTCTAATTTTTTTCCTTTTTTGTAATAGATAAAATCTTAATTAATTCGCTTTTAATTATCTCTGATACATTGTTTTAATTTAACTTAAGTGTACCATTGATTATTGTAAGTCTGTGTATTTCTATTGTGTTTGTTTGCAGCTTTTTTTTGGCTAAATAGGAATTACCTAACAATTGTCAACTGATAAGAATTATAGTAGTTATCTTTTGCAGAAAATAAATCAGCTTGCCAAAAGCTTTCTTTTGAAATTCCCATTATGTAGAGGATTTGTCGGGATTTCTCAGGCTGAGTCATTCAGAAGATAAGATGACGATCGATGGGGATTAGGAAGGTTCCATGCTAGATTTCATCACTCGTGCAAAAAATATTATCAATTTAATTGAACCGTATCCACTTTATAAAGCTTTGATTTCTTTATTAGTAATAAGATTAGTCGTTGTATGAACAACTGAATTTTGTTATAGAATAAAAATGATCGATTATCGTTTTATTCCATATGCCTGGCATCTCTCTTATCCTTTCCTTCCATCTGCATCTTTTTCTTTTCCTGTCTTTACTGATTATATCTTACCTGTCTTTTATCTAATCTACATTCTTTTCTCTTCTATAATAATTTTTCGATTTAGGAAACTAAAATATAATATATATATATATATATATATATATAGGGGAGATCGGGGCAACTTCGGCATGCGGGGCAAGTTTGTCAAGCGCTTTTTTTAAAAAACAAATTAAAAGGAGACTTTGGTTATAGGTTAGGCAGTTGAGTTTTATTGGTGGCTTGTTGAGTGTAGTGTTTTTATTGTTCTCCAACAAGCGTAGTTGAATTATCAAGCAAATTTTCATTTTCGTTCAATTCCATATAATATTTTTTTTCCATTTATATTGAATTGGCAGGTTTTGTTATAATTCCATGATAACGAAAGTTACTTTTCCTGTTAGAAGGATGTAACTTCAACTTATTCACGTGGCCAGATCGTGGCTTGGCATTCTGTTCTCAGGGTTGTACTTAATGTTTCGAAATCATGACTAGCGGGGTAAGATCGGCAACATAAAGCCACATTAGAAGCAAAGGATAAAAATCAAACAGATGATAAATGAAAACATGTTTGCATTTGTTATTCATGTATATATGTCTTTGAACTTGCATTTCGTTGTAATAATATTAAATGGGTGTTGGATTTGTATTTCTTTGTTTTAATAGTGAATTCCAACTTATACATTGTTAATAACATAATTTTATATACGTGCCTATCTTGCCCCATTACTGTTGCCCCTATACCAGGGGCAACTTTAATAAAAATAATTAAAATAATTACAACTTTACAAAAAGAGAGAAGTTGCCGATCTTGCCCCTATACCCGGGGCAACTTCGTCAATTTCTCTCTTCTTGTAAAGTTGTAATTATTTTAATTATTTTTATTTCCAAACTGATTTTAACCAGTTCTATAGTAAGGTAACATTCCAATAGACAATATGCAAAGCTTTTTTTTCAGTTTACAGCAGTATTTATTACACAAAATTTAAGTAAAGCTTAACATGCCGATTTTGCCCCGATCTTCCCTATATATATTATATTTTAGTTATATATATATAACTAAAATATTAGTTTAGTTCTATATATATAGAAAATCGATTAAAGTATCTGTTGCATTGCATCTTTCGCCAGAAATTTTCAGGTTTATTGTGGGTAAGTTTGTCGCTGGTATGCCAATACTGTAGTAAATATCGATATTAGAAACCGTGATCTGTTCCAAAAAAAGAGATTACTCGGCTCTATATTATCTGACTACTCGAAAATAACTGTCAAGATGAAAAAAGAAATGAGCGGTTTGAAATTACTTTGTATGAAATTACTGTTTCTAGAATTCGGTTCGTGGTTTTTAATATGCCATATGGTGTATATGATACGGTCTGATTTTGACAATTCTGAGTTTCTGTTTATTTAAATAGCATGAAAGGTCAACAGATATCGTCGAACTGGTGAATACAATACATTCTTTCGAACTGTTCTCACTAAGTTAGAATTTCAGCTGGACTGTAACAGTAGTGATGTTGAAATTGCTATTCGATACAAATCGTCTTTAAACATCTGTTTAAAAATGTTTGTACTTTTCAAATAAAATTCGATAAAAATATTATTTTAATATTTCAAATAAAAAATTTTTGCATTAATAATAATAATAATAAGAAAAGTTTGGATATTTTAACGAATTATTTATTTTAATGACTAAAAATATAATTAATAATTAATTCACTTGTGTTGATAATATTGGTCGAAAATTGGAAAACTTTAGAATTAGATTATAAAAATTTTAATTTGAAAATTGGATTATGCAAAATACTAAAATGATATTTATTCTAAATGGAAATTTGTAAATAAAATCGAATAATTAAATTATTAATCGTAACGAAAACGAAAGTATAATTAAGAATTCGTGTTGTTTTAACTTCTAAAATTTTTGTAAATCCATTGTTTTGTCAATGAAATATAATATTTTAGTGTATAAAGTTTTAGAAAATTACGAACAATAATATCTGACAGTTAATTGCCGTAGCGAAACGTAGTTAATTACGAAATATTAATAAATAAATTATATGGCCTTCAATTTATTATTCATTGTGTTTAATTTTTAATAATGTCGCACATTCTAATCTGTCTCTCCTTTCCTTACGACATAAATTTATTACACTTATGACAGGCGTGTGAAATTCGATCATATCGAATTAGCAGTCGTATTCTTTGACAGAAACTTCTGTTACAGTAAAATATTTAATTCACTTCATTTAATGGTTTCAGAAATGATTCATGTAGCGATTTATACATTAGATTAAACGATGTTTCTAGTTTGGTGTCTATCTGTCTTGAATATATACATAAGTTTTAGACATTTTAATCGGTGATTTTTCCATTAAGAATAGGAAGAAAGTTAAACTGTTTAAACTTTTATTTTTGTTTTTAGTTATCAAGACAAAAATCAAGAAAGTGCAGAAAGCCAAACTAAGCTGTAAGAAGGCGCGTATTTTGAAGCTTCGCGATGGAAATCTAAAGAAGGATTTACGTCGCCCCACCCTGAAATATGCCAACGTTACCGAATGCTGCAGCTCCCTTTCCAAGGGTGGAAATAAGAAAAACAGAGTTCTCATCATGGGTAACAATAAAAACGGAGAAGGATTAGTGCCAACATTTATCATGGAGTGGCGCAAGAGTCAAGCCTTCAAATCAGCCATTCGCATGATGAAGAAGATCGACTGCAATGATCCTAAAATAATATCCGAAACTATGTTGGCCGATGGGATACTGTCTTCTGATAGAAAGAGAAGAAATGGGGGTCACTTACGAAGGCGCAAAAAACACCAAAGGAACAAACATGAACACAAGGGCAATATCGAAAATAAGCCAACTACCCTAGCGGCTTAAATGTCGATTTTTCGTACAATGGTTCCTGTATCTGCGAAATAGTCCGGATGTTAGTTGTGCTGTACAGTCTCGTGTTTTTGTATTGTTCCGTATTGCTTTATAGTCATAAATTTCTCTGCCAGTTGCCAATAGAGTGACATTTTTGTTTTTGTTTTGCATTTTTCTCATGTATCACCTCGCTTACAATAAGATCGCGTTAAGTTTTTGGGTAGATATTAAAAAATTCTTTTGAAATAAATATTGACGAATTTTAATTATTCATTTTAACAGCACAAAAAATCAGATCTCAATATTAGCTTAAAAGAATTTAGAGTTATTTTACTTGTAATGATCAGTCAGTAGAATTTAAATCGTATTTAGTTCTTAATATTAAAGAGAGGAAAAAAATTCCATTATCATAAATTATCGTGTTAGATTGCATTGTATTCTTGATGAGAATTAAGATTATCTGTAAGATATGATAAATATTTAAGGATATTCTTCGTTCGACTTGATTTGCATACGTAAATATGTGAAAGGTCGGTTGTATTCTGTTTTGATATGATGGATATTATTAAAGTATGTAAAAATTTTCGCTTATCTCGTTCCATACAAGTGGAGGAAAATTCTAGTGAAATTGCTTTTAATTAAATCTATGTATTGCACTCGCACAGATGTTCGTATTCGTTTTGATTAGATGCCGAAGATAGTTTCTGTCAGAAAGCTTCTTGGCATTTGATGTGTGTCTGAATATTTTATAGAGAAAGAACTAAATTGAAAAAAATGTTTTATTAATCGCATCCGTTATACGTATCCATATTTAAACAAATTTTTCATCTTCGCCTATCGGTTTGTCTTATGTGTGTCGTATAAAAATATATTTAAGCGTTTCTGCGTATTGTACATAATGTAACTAGTGTCTGAAAAATTTTTAACGACTCAGTTAAGTAAGCAGTAATATTTTTTTTTTTTTTTTCATTTATGCTGTTGTAACGTCAATTCGAATGTATCTAAAAAATTTGTGAAAAATTAAAGATGAATTTGAAAATGCCGCATGTCCTATTCTTTTCTATTTTGCTTTTTAAACGTGGGGGAAGTCCCGCGATCGTGGCAAAAATCGTCTTGTCTGGTAATAATAAAATAAAAATAATAATATTTAGACACCGGGGGCCATTGTCGAGCAGATTTTTCCGCGTAATGGTTTCTGATTTACGACTGGAGAATGTACTGTTGGGACGTGTGTCTACTGTAAATTCAAGATTTTGGGCGTGACCAGACAATTCTGGGGGTCGAAAACGGAGGGATGCAGTCATGCACGTTCTACAAGTTGAATGATGATAGAACTAGTTCTTCACCAACTGGTTTTACCCCTAATAGGGCAACAGCCTTGGAAAGTGTCCCCGCTTAATTACTCTGCAATTAAATGACTAACACTTAAATATTAGACTTAATTTGCTATTCACCGGTTCCCTAATTGCAGTTCCTAAATGGAATGTCCACAATCAAAATTGGATCCACGCCTCCATCCTTTATGATTTTTAATGGTGTGACGACGATTTCGAAAATTCCTATAAAGTCCTGTTATACCTCTGAAAAAATATCCGCTAGCATTTATGCTGTAAACGATAAATAGGTCTATTGTTGAAAGAATCGAAATTTCTTCTAAGATTCTTACAAAAGAAAACGGATAAGTGAATGCCATTAGACTCTTGTAATTTATTGACACATTCTTTTAACTTTACTGCCACAGGAGACAAACATTCTATCGATACTTATTCTATCATAGTGGCAATCTAATGCCTAAACAGGTGGAGCTAATTGTAGGTTGGCAAATGCACAAGACCTGTTTGACGCTTCTCCAGCGAAGAAACAAACAAGTTGTTACCACATGACAATTTTAAAACCTGAAGTTCAGAGTCCGGTAGCCCCTCCGACCGGGGTTCTGCCTGCAGTCAAGTCATTTCGTGAGTAAATTTGCCTTGAGCCCAAGGTTGAAACTGCCCAAGGACTCGAAAACACTTTATTCGCTTGGTTTTCTACTTCAATTTTGATTTATTTCAACAATTCCATGTCAACAAGAATCTCGAATTTTCTAACATAAAAGAAAAAAAAATAAATTGAGCCAATTTCAAAAGAGATATAAAACGAAAGACAAAAGCTAGAATTATCAATATAATAATTTGGAAAAAAAATCTTTTTAATGATTAAAGTCCATACGTTCGCGTGCTCTTTTCGCCCTTCAGAAAAGCCGTCTTTTACTAGACTGGGTCCAAACTTCGCATCGATATTTTATAAGAGGAAAAGTAGCAGACTGTTGTGTTTAACACGTGCAGTGGGAGGTCTCCTGTCTAGACAACATACCGAAGTGTTAAGGGTCACAGGTGTCATGTCTTCTTGCCAATTTTCTTCGTATCCATGCTTATATTAAAGAGAAACATCTACAGATGATCGGCACTTAGATTTTTTTTTTTTTTAGAATGGAGTTGATATCTTTCTTCTAACGTATTCAATGCCATTCTAATATCGAAAAAAATAAAGAAACTCCAACTAAAATATAAAAGAAATACGACAAGCCTTCGATCTTGGAAAAATTTACAAAATTGTATCTACGTAAGAAGATATTTGATACAACAAGTTTGATCGATCAAAATCAGAAATTTTCGAATTTTTTAAACAAAAATCCGTGCTTGTAGAGTAAAAATTAATTTGATAAATTAATTAATTAACTTTTCAATTAATTAATAACAAGCATCGTTAGAAGTGAAAGTATCTCGTTATCTACTTTATTAAGAAATGGGATGTTAATTGATCCGTCTGTACTCCCTCCAGAGCAGAAAATTACTAAATACAAATCAAGAGAATTGAATGTGCAGTATGTTGGACAACAATTCAAAATAACTTTTTAGGTCATCGTTTAAAATAAAAAATAAAAAAAAGTTTATATAAATTTATACTTTTATAGCCCTTTCTTAACAATTTAGGTCAAGTTATTTGTTGAATATATATATATTTACTCTCTATTATTTTATTCTGTGTAAGTTGAATAAAACCACAAAAAACAATGAAATCCTGTTTTAAATTATTAAAAGTAAGGAATATTTTAACACAAATATTTAGGTATGAAGTATAAATTATCTTAATCTTGGAATATAAAAAGTCTTGATGGCACAATATTTCAGTATCCATCAATTTCTTTTTTTATTATCAAAGANAAAAAAAAAGTTTTTGCTCTGCACAAAATGTATTGCTTATATCATTTCAGTATACTTTAACTGAATAATTAATATTGATTTATATTATTCAACGTAAAATTTAAATAATTTATTCCGCTTGTTTCTGAAATACATGAGAAAATATCAAGTCGCATTTTGTAGTAAATGAATATTTACATAATATTTTTTTAATTATGCGAATTTATTACCGTTTCGAAATAAGTTTACTGAATAAACTATATAATTTCGATTAATGACTTAAAAATATTCATAATTTAATAATAATAATAATAATAAACTTCTGTGGAATTTTTGTTTTTTCTCTTCTTCGTGGAATTAGCAATAAATTTTAATTAAATTGATTTATAAATATTTGATATTTCTTTTTTTTGAATTACATTTCTATTTATAAACCTATCGATTATTTTATGCAATTCTTTATGCAGTTTTTTAAGTGTGAAAAATACAGATAAAATGTTGAGATGAGATTAAGAATTACGTTTTGAAATATTTAAAATACAGCAGTTACCACTCTCTTGAAATTCTTTTTTTTTTGAAGTAACTTTTAAAACTTCCGAATTACCAAAGTTCTTACAAAAAGTTTAGTACTTTTAAGTTAAAAGGAAGAACGATCTATCAAAATTTTATTTCTGTTTTATTGTTTTTTTTTTAAATTTCAAGTTAATGGATACTACAAAACATGTTTTATAATTTACCACGAACTTAAAAGCGTTACGCTTTTATTCGAACTCATCTACATACGTACATTTTTCCATAATCTTATTAACTCTCATCCTGTTTATAACTCATTAATGTAAACAGTTTTAAGTTTTCTAACCTAATCTCTAAAAGATAAATTTATTAACGGTCTATTAAGTATAAATTATGACGCTATTTACGTTATTTTTTTTCTTCCTTTCCTCCGCTTCTAATTCTGCGGAGAATACTTCGAATTTGCAAAATGGAATTCATATAATTCTCGATAATCTGCTTATGTAAGATGGTTTCCTAGATGAGTGTTTCCAGCTGATTTACTGATTGACAATTTACATTCCCCAGAAAACTAATAGGCTATTGTTTCGCTAGTTAAAATGTGATAATTCGATTTCTCCTTAGGAATTACATTAACCTTTGTAAAAAGCGTAATTTAGAATTATCGTTACTACTAATATCCGCTTCAGGTTTTTTTTCATTAACGTTATAGCTAATTTTTATTTTATTTTAAGAACGGAGAGAGAGAGGATTTACAGATTTATGTTCTAATTGTATTAATTTAAAACGAAAGCGTTAATGCAAACATGATAAAATTGAATTTTGTGAAGTTCTATAGACACCAAACGACAATGTTAATATCTGTGAAAAATTAATTAACAAGAAATAATTAAACTATCGTGATTAATTCGGATTGTATCAAATAATAATCAACACGTTTTAAAGTTCGGTTATATTCTTCCATATAAGTATAGCCTAAGTGTTCCATATTCTTCCATATAAGTATAGTGTAAAAATTATACTGTATAATTAGAAATATTTTATGCATCACGTAAAAAATTTGCGAAGGTTAGAAGACATTAGAATTTATAATTAAATTGTGTATTCAAAAACTAAATTTCTTGGAATTATGCGATTTAAACATTAAAAAAAGCAAAAAAAAAAATATTACACACTTAACATGTAAATCGCCGAATAAATTTATAAAGAACCACCTTTTTTTTCTGGAATTCAGAACTTTCAATTGATGTTTATCTTTTTATTAATTTTTATTCCTTCTACAGTACAAATTTCTTAATTTTCAATGTCAAATATGTATCTACTGATCTGTCACAGCAATATGTTACAAGATAAATTTCTAAAGCAAGTAGAAATGTTGTTAGTAAAATTAATTTTGTTTTCGAAAATTAAATGAAGTTGTAATTTTATAGCTGCTTTCTTTGACACAAATTATTTACATAGTGTCTGCATAAATATAATTGTCCTCATTCAGTGATGGGTGGATGGCACATTTCAAACATCTCAAAACCCACAAACTTCACGTCTAGCTCTGCTGGTTCATTGTCCGCCAATGCTTAAATTTTTTTTCCTACTATAAAATTACATTTTATTAAGATACTTTACTCAATTCTTTTTGAATTTTTACGTTCCGCTACATAATTATACGGTTTAAAAGTTTAATGAGACAAAATCAAAGTATTTTCTGAGTTAAATTATAAAATAATTACAGGCGTAAACTGCGACGAATTAAAAACAAGGAAACATTATTATTATTTTTTTTTCTTGAGAATTACAGTATAATTTTTCAAGAAAACACTTTAAGGTTGAAGTTAAACATTAATTTATTATAATAAAAAAATTATTTAGACACTATTTTTACTTAATTATGTAAAAATCTCCACATAGTTAAAGAATAAATTAAGGTGAAGATTTAAAAGTTTACTTAACAGCGATAAAATATTGTATAATTTTAGGAGTTTGAAACTATAGATTAGAGGTAAGAGCAATTGAATAATAGATGAAAATTTACAATATTTATTACTATTTTCTCTTATTTAAACATTTTAAATGTGTTTTAAGGAAAGTATATCATTGACAGTTATAAATGTTCGTAGCCGCTTTAGTAAATGTTTCCTAATTCGCTTTCTGTTGCACAGTCGATAATCGCTGTTTAATATATTATATATTGAAGTGTTTTATTTGATGCTTGCTTAGAATTTATGAATATATCTGTTAAGGATCATTTACACTGCCTGTATAGGATACGGATTGCGTAGTGTCAGTATAAATTATAGATAGCTGGACGATCCACCCAAGTTGTCTAGCTTGGATAAGAAATAGATTACGAAGCTTCGACGCCAACCTACCCATGAAAAATTATGAGAACCGAAACAAATTCGTATCTGGATTCTTTACGACTATTCTTTACCACGTAACATCTAGCCAGTAAGCTGCTTGCATGGAGTGACCATGTTGTTTATCACCCTAACCGGAGAGAAAGTGAAAAATGGGTCTAAATATGGTTAGACGTAGAGTATTTTTTTAAAATTATTTATATATTGATCTATAAATTCATTATATTGCATTACAAGACTTATAAAATGACTCATTTAAAATTTTATTTTAGTTTCGAGGGTTCAAAATAGTAGAAATCCGGGAGGATCCAGATAGTATGGTCACTCTATGCTTGCTTAGAACTTCTCTATTTTTGAACATTATAATTAAATAAGTATGGAATTATAAATTCAACAATAATATATATTTTCTTGAATGGTAATGATAATCTTATAATAATTTTTATTCGGAAAATATAGGAAAAAAAAATTGTTTTCAGTCGAATCTTGGAGATATTTTATCATTTCACTGCTTGATGATTCCGATGCTTTGCAAATCTGAAAATAATCGACAATTCTTAAAGTTATATTATGTTTTAAGTGATAAATCCATAATATATTGGCTTTAAAATATATTTCGGGTGTAAATTTCTTCTCCAATTTATAATAAATTGTGAAATGTTAGCAGAATGAATAATAAGCATATAAAATATTGGTGATTATAATATATATGAAGAAAATTTAAATTAAATGAATAATAATAATAATAAGAAAAGTTTGGATATTTTAACGAATTATTTATTTTAATGACTAAAAATATAATTAATAATTAATTCACTTGTGTTGATAATATTGGTCGAAAATTGGAAAACTTTAGAATTAGATTATAAAAATTTTAATTTGAAAATTGGATTATGCAAAATACTAAAATGATATTTATTCTAAATGGAAATTTGTAAATAAAATCGAATAATTAAATTATTAATCGTAACGAAAACGAAAGTATAATTAAGAATTCGTGTTGTTTTAACTTCTAAAATTTTTGTAAATCCATTGTTTTGTCAATGAAATATAATATTTTAGTGTATAAAGTTTTAGAAAATTACGAACAATAATATCTGACAGTTAATTGCCGTAGCGAAACGTAGTTAATTACGAAATATTAATAAATAAATTATATGGCCTTCAATTTATTATTCATTGTGTTTAATTTTTAATAATGTCGCACATTCTAATCTGTCTCTCCTTTCCTTACGACATAAATTTATTACACTTATGACAGGCGTGTGAAATTCGATCATATCGAATTAGCAGTCGTATTCTTTGACAGAAACTTCTGTTACAGTAAAATATTTAATTCACTTCATTTAATGGTTTCAGAAATGATTCATGTAGCGATTTATACATTAGATTAAACGATGTTTCTAGTTTGGTGTCTATCTGTCTTGAATATATACATAAGTTTTAGACATTTTAATCGGTGATTTTTCCATTAAGAATAGGAAGAAAGTTAAACTGTTTAAACTTTTATTTTTGTTTTTAGTTATCAAGACAAAAATCAAGAAAGTGCAGAAAGCCAAACTAAGCTGTAAGAAGGCGCGTATTTTGAAGCTTCGCGATGGAAATCTAAAGAAGGATTTACGTCGCCCCACCCTGAAATATGCCAACGTTACCGAATGCTGCAGCTCCCTTTCCAAGGGTGGAAATAAGAAAAACAGAGTTCTCATCATGGGTAACAATAAAAACGGAGAAGGATTAGTGCCAACATTTATCATGGAGTGGCGCAAGAGTCAAGCCTTCAAATCAGCCATTCGCATGATGAAGAAGATCGACTGCAATGATCCTAAAATAATATCCGAAACTATGTTGGCCGATGGGATACTGTCTTCTGATAGAAAGAGAAGAAATGGGGGTCACTTACGAAGGCGCAAAAAACACCAAAGGAACAAACATGAACACAAGGGCAATATCGAAAATAAGCCAACTACCCTAGCGGCTTAAATGTCGATTTTTCGTACAATGGTTCCTGTATCTGCGAAATAGTCCGGATGTTAGTTGTGCTGTACAGTCTCGTGTTTTTGTATTGTTCCGTATTGCTTTATAGTCATAAATTTCTCTGCCAGTTGCCAATAGAGTGACATTTTTGTTTTTGTTTTGCATTTTTCTCATGTATCACCTCGCTTACAATAAGATCGCGTTAAGTTTTTGGGTAGATATTAAAAAATTCTTTTGAAATAAATATTGACGAATTTTAATTATTCATTTTAACAGCACAAAAAATCAGATCTCAATATTAGCTTAAAAGAATTTAGAGTTATTTTACTTGTAATGATCAGTCAGTAGAATTTAAATCGTATTTAGTTCTTAATATTAAAGAGAGGAAAAAAATTCCATTATCATAAATTATCGTGTTAGATTGCATTGTATTCTTGATGAGAATTAAGATTATCTGTAAGATATGATAAATATTTAAGGATATTCTTCGTTCGACTTGATTTGCATACGTGAATATGTGAAAGGTCGGTTGTATTCTGTTTTGATATGATGGATATTATTAAAGTATGTAAAAATTTTCGCTTATCTCGTTCCATACAAGTGGAGGAAAATTCTAGTGAAATTGCTTTTAATTAAATCTATGTATTGCACTCGCACAGATGTTCGTATTCGTTTTGATTAGATGCCGAAGATAGTTTCTGTCAGAAAGCTTCTTGGCATTTGATGTGTGTCTGAATATTTTATAGAGAAAGAACTAAATTGAAAAAAATGTTTTATTAATCGCATCCGTTATACGTATCCATATTTAAACAAATTTTTCATCTTCGCCTATCGGTTTGTCTTATGTGTGTCGTATAAAAATATATTTAAGCGTTTCTGCGTATTGTACATAATGTAACTAGTGTCTGAAAAATTTTTAACGACTTCAGTTAAGTAAGCAGTAATTTTTTTTTTCATTTATGCTGTTGTAACGTCAATTCGAATGTATCTAAAAAATTTGTGAAAAATTAAAGATGAATTTGAAAATGCCGCATGTCCTATTCTTTTCTATTTTGCTTTTTAAACGTGGGGGAAGTCCCGCGATCGTGGCAAAAATCGTCTTGTCTGGTAATAATAAAATAAAAATAATAATATTTAGACACCGGGGGCCATTGTCGAGCAGATTTTTCCGCGTAATGGTTTCTGATTTACGACTGGAGAATGTACTGTTGGGACGTGTGTCTACTGTAAATTCAAGATTTTGGGCGTGACCAGACAATTCTGGGGGTCGAAAACGGAGGGATGCAGTCATGCACGTTCTACAAGTTGAATGATGATAGAACTAGTTCTTCACCAACTGGTTTTACCCCTAATAGGGCAACAGCCTTGGAAAGTGTCCCCGCTTAATTACTCTGCAATTAAATGACTAACACTTAAATATTAGACTTAATTTGCTATTCACCGGTTCCCTAATTGCAGTTCCTAAATGGAATGTCCACAATCAAAATTGGATCCACGCCTCCATCCTTTATGATTTTTAATGGTGTGACGACGATTTCGAAAATTCCTATAAAGTCCTGTTATACCTCTGAAAAAATATCCGCTAGCATTTATGCTGTAAACGATAAATAGGTCTATTGTTGAAAGAATCGAAATTTCTTCTAAGATTCTTACAAAAGAAAACGGATAAGTGAATGCCATTAGACTCTTGTAATTTATTGACACATTCTTTTAACTTTACTGCCACAGGAGACAAACATTCTATCGATACTTATTCTATCATAGTGGCAATCTAATGCCTAAACAGGTGGAGCTAATTGTAGGTTGGCAAATGCACAAGACCTGTTTGACGCTTCTCCAGCGAAGAAACAAACAAGTTGTTACCACATGACAATTTTAAAACCTGAAGTTCAGAGTCCGGTAGCCCCTCCGACCGGGGTTCTGCCTGCAGTCAAGTCATTTCGTGAGTAAATTTGCCTTGAGCCCAAGGTTGAAACTGCCCAAGGACTCGAAAACACTTTATTCGCTTGGTTTTCTACTTCAATTTTGATTTATTTCAACAATTCCATGTCAACAAGAATCTCGAATTTTCTAACATAAAAGAAAAAAAAATAAATTGAGCCAATTTCAAAAGAGATATAAAACGAAAGACAAAAGCTAGAATTATCAATATAATAATTTGGAAAAAAAATCTTTTTAATGATTAAAGTCCATACGTTCGCGTGCTCTTTTCGCCCTTCAGAAAAGCCGTCTTTTACTAGACTGGGTCCAAACTTCGCATCGATATTTTATAAGAGGAAAAGTAGCAGACTGTTGTGTTTAACACGTGCAGTGGGAGGTCTCCTGTCTAGACAACATACCGAAGTGTTAAGGGTCACAGGTGTCATGTCTTCTTGCCAATTTTCTTCGTATCCATGCTTATATTAAAGAGAAACATCTACAGATGATCGGCACTTAGATTTTTTTTTTTTTTTAGAATGGAGTTGATATCTTTCTTCTAACGTATTCAATGCCATTCTAATATCGAAAAAAATAAAGAAACTCCAACTAAAATATAAAAGAAATACGACAAGCCTTCGATCTTGGAAAAATTTACAAAATTGTATCTACGTAAGAAGATATTTGATACAACAAGTTTGATCGATCAAAATCAGAAATTTTCGAATTTTTTAAACAAAAATCCGTGCTTGTAGAGTAAAAATTAATTTGATAAATTAATTAATTAACTTTTCAATTAATTAATAACAAGCATCGTTAGAAGTGAAAGTATCTCGTTATCTACTTTATTAAGAAATGGGATGTTAATTGATCCGTCTGTACTCCCTCCAGAGCAGAAAATTACTAAATACAAATCAAGAGAATTGAATGTGCAGTATGTTGGACAACAATTCAAAATAACTTTTTAGGTCATCGTTTAAAATAAAAAATAAAAAAAAGTTTATATAAATTTATACTTTTATAGCCCTTTCTTAACAATTTAGGTCAAGTTATTTGTTGAATATATATATATTTACTCTCTATTATTTTATTCTGTGTAAGTTGAATAAAACCACAAAAAACAATGAAATCCTGTTTTAAATTATTAAAAGTAAGGAATATTTTAACACAAATATTTAGGTATGAAGTATAAATTATCTTAATCTTGGAATATAAAAAGTCTTGATGGCACAATATTTCAGTATCCATCAATTTCTTTTTTTATTATCAAAGAAACAGAAGACAGCAAATTTCTTATCAAAGAATGTTTTATATATAAAAAGAAAAACAAGAAAGAAAAAAAATCTAGTCAGATACCACATTGGTAATATGTGGTTTCATTGAGCAGAAATCGAACTGTAATAAATTGCATGCAACTCAATCGATCACTCCGATTTCAAATGTCATATTGCATGCAGCGACGCGTGTCTCATCAATCTACAAGTTCCTGCTTGTTGATGGATTCCTTTCCGTTATAACTATTTTTTTCCCCCTGTTTTTATAGTAATAATTTAAGATTGGGCTTAATATAATATTTTATTATTATTAATTTATCAACTATTTATTTTGATATTTAGTTATTATTCAAAAAAAATTTTTAAATTAAAATTTATTTATTTTAAATGTTTTTTTTTATACTAATCATTCCGTAGTGCCATCTGATGGATAAAATGATTACTATTCTTCCACAATTGAAAGAAATATATTTTGTTTTATAAATATTTTTAAATATAATTACATTTTGTATACAAAATATCATCGTATGGTTTTTTTTTATTAATTTTTAAAATCAAATTTGTATGAATTAAATTAAATTTTAAGTCTACTCATAAATCTNTTCATTTAAAATAATCAAATTTGTATGAATTAAATTAAATTTTAAGTCTACTCATAAATCTAAAATTTGCATAAGAATCATTAATATGGCTGCTGTCTTGTTATTTTTTTTCCTGGAAAATAAATTGATTGTATAAAGCAATACATTAATTTTCTACCTTTCGAAACTTTCAAACTTTAACGGTGTGATATTTAGTGAAATAATGCTCGAGACGTCTACTGAAATTCAAAAGTTCGATTAAAACTTTTACAAGACCTTTTTATAATTATTAAAAGTAAAAATTAATTAATGTGAGTGTTTAATTGCTATTTCCAACACCAAAATTCACGCTAGTGTGAGTCACTTAGCATACGGATTATTAGATAAGTCCCAGCATCAACGAAGAAAACGCTATTAACGTCGGTCGATTTGTCTGTCCGTCCGTCGTGTGCAAATAAACAAGCAGCCGCCCGACTAAACAGTATTTTGGTTATATATTTATATTTTATTTTAAATTCGTTTATTATAATAATATAATATGAGAAATTAGAGAATTGCTTCAGTTTTACATACCGTTCGATTATTATGATTTTAATCAATTATTTAAAAAAAAATCTATCTTAAATAATACAAAATTTGTAAATTAATTTTTCATATTTAATAATGTTTACAAAAGCTTCTAACAAAGTAATGCTTAAGCATGGAATTTTAAATAAACATTTTCTATTATAATTCTGTAATTTAAATTATAAATTGTTTACAGTACATGTATAGTGGTATACGATGCTAATTATATTTGAAAATTTCATAATGATGTAAATTTAATTCTAAACTGATCAATTAATTTTCAGTATCTTCGTAATTTGCACTGAATCTAATCAAGAAAGTGCAAAGGTACTAGGGCAATCCTTGCTTCGACCTCCTTTGTCTAGGTCGAGACAATAATATTTAAATACCTTAAATATATTTTTAATAAGTGGTTGCGCCTTTCAACCATTATATTTTTACTTTGTTGATGTTTTCTCAAATTTTACTTGGCTTTGAGGCTTCGGAGGCCTCAATCTAGAAAGTCCCAAAGCGGCCCTCTCTTGCCAATAATAATAATAATAATAATAATAATAATCGAACGTGACGTATATAACTGTTGTATTTATTTATGTTATTATTAATTGAAGAGAGTTGCAGAAATTAATTGATAAATATAAAATTTATCAATTAATTTCTGCAACTCTCTTCAATAAAATGACGTAAGAAATTGCTATATATAACACTGTGGTTGTGTAATTTATAATATAGATTGCTTACGTATATAGTAGTGTACGATGCTAATTATATTTCAGAAATTCGTAATTATATAAACTTAATTGAAATGAATTAATTAATATTCACTATCTTGGTGATTTTCGTTCGATATTCTCGAGTGTGACATATATAACTGTTGAACGTAGCTATTTATTGTGAGCAGAACTTATACCGGACTTACTTGTTTATCAGCAATTGATGATGTCGAACAACAACTGGAATTATCTCTTTAATCACGTCAAAATGATTGATTAATTCTGAACACTTTTTCAACTTTCCTGTCCTGAATTGAGTTTTTATGGAAGCAATCTATTCAGATGGAGAGATATATGTAACTGATTGATTGAATTTTTCCTCGCTCTCATTTTTATTACTCAATTAAAAATGACGGGTTACATTTTTCTCAGAAAGTAAAGAACCTCTGAGAATTTCTCTCTCAATAAATGATGTATCGTGGGAAGAAAGAAATTTTTATTATTTTTTCTTTTTATTGTTATTATGCAACTGGATAAACCTGAAGGCTTGTTCTAGTTTCCATTCGTAACACATCGGCCAAACTTTTATTAGATTTTTGTGATAAAACAAATTATAATTCGCATTAAAATAATTATATTTAAAGACATTTTTTAAAATTTTTTACTCGCTTTTTTACTTTAGAAAAATATGAAATATCAAACGCGAACCGTTTTAATTAGAATTTATTACTAAATTCCTATGGGATTAGACGTTAAATAATTTTAAAAAATCATTTATTTTATCTTCTTGATTTAAATTGCTTAAAAAAGTATGTTTAAAAATTAGAATGTGTGTGTCTGTGTTTAACTAGGGCTGTATTTAGACATTCGTCATTTGGGAGCCGGAGAAAGACCGACTGATACCCAGTTAAAGCTTCATGGGTGCTCCCTGTTGGTGTGAGCCCTA